AAGTGACGCCATTTTCAATCCTTTTTTTCACATAAACTTAGGTTTTTGGTAAAACTTAATGTAAATTAATTCAGATCATAAAGAGAATTAGTTAAGTCCTGTGGTGATTAGATCAATTTATGTCTCATGTATTTAATGATTATATATAATATATATAATGATTTTATAATGATGTGATAAATTTTTGATTGTGTTTTTTGTAAAGCAGGAAGACGAACATCTATGAAAAATTTGGACAAATGACCAAAGCTGTAATCCCCTTTTAAGTGAATTTTATGTATTTACATTCATTGCAGAATAAACTCTATTGCTTCACTGCAAATTTTGTATTTTTAGGTACTACTAAATTTTAGTAACTAAAATAATGTTAAGTGCAGTAAACACTACAGTACTAAGTCTAAAAAAGGGTTGCTTAAATACAACTTTAGTTCGAATTGAAAAAAAATAAGTATCTTAACAAATATTTTCAAATCTTCAATTGAGACTATTTTTTCAAATTATTTGACTATGGTATAAAACATGTTTTTACAAACCTTATATCGGATTTAAATACTGTGTTTTATTCCCTATTTGTTTCTCTAAAACTTTTTATAAATATTTTCCTACAGTCGGTAAAAAGACACAGGTATAACCACCACCTATTGTAATCTCTTGTGGACCAAAAGCAATGGAATAGAGGAATGTTGCCTTTAAAACCAACCTTTGCAAATGTTACAAAAGAAAAGAAATACACATAGAGGGAGCAATTTTTTGTCTTTTCAATTATATATATATATATATATCTGCTTCGATAAAAAAAAAGTTCGTAAGCATAACAACATAACAAAGAAGTGCTTAACGACTCTTGGATGACAGGTACTTAAACCTATTTGCATGTTGTTTCCAACTCCTGCTTTTATTTAGTCCTTGTTATGTTGTATTTGCCGTTGTCATATCCTTGAGATGCGCTTATAATGTTGCGCTTGCAATTGAAGTTGTCGTTGCAATTCATTTGGGTTGAGTTAACTGATTGTCGTCATTGTTCTATGCGCCTTGCGACACAATACAATGAAAAAATGTTGCACAAACCAAATTCAGGGACCTTTGCATTGTTATAGCTGAGGTGAAATATTTATATACAAAAGCTATTTTAAAAAACATAAAGTATGAAAAATGAAACTAATTTATTTTGTGCAAGAAAACTCAACTGACACTGACACAAATTACATTGAATACAAACTCCCTCCACAATAAAAATATTAATGTCCCACAAGTTGAAACAAAATTTTTTTTTAAATAAAATAAAATTGTAACGCATTCCGTTGTTTTAAACAAAAAAAAATACTTTTAAAATATTGCAAAAACTGGAATTTCCTTTAGAGACTACAAACAAAAGCAAATGCCATTTTAAATATCCTTGCACTATTTACAGAAGAACTTTACGTTTTGTTAACATTAGAGTTAGCATTGTAAATTCAGTTCTACTGTGGTTACCATAATTCGTTCCGCAAACCTTCTGGTAAAATAGTAGAATTCAAATAAAATGATTTCGCAAATATGAATTTATTGTTAAGAAAGTAAGATTCATTTTCTTGAGACTATCAATTGTACACTGACAAATTATTTATCATATCATAGTTCTATTTAATGATATGGCAATATACCAATTAAAAAAAATAAAAAAATAATTAAGCAAACTATTATTATTTATATAAATAATAAAATTGTAATTTTATAAAAATAAATATAATAAAATAATTATATATAAAGTATTTACTACATATATGGCAGTATAAAAATTAAACAAATAAATAAATAATTATGCAAACCAGAATATAGCAGCAGAACGCAGGGTTGCAGATCGGGTATCGCGACTTTGTAGAAAAACATTAAGTAGCCATCAAGAACATGGACAAGATTTTGGTTCAGATGGCCACATTTGATCGCTTTTTAGGTTCCATTTTCTTAGTGCTGTGTTGGTTCTTGCTTGTGCTGTTTATATACCTATTTATATTGCCACATGTTTTGCGTAATGATCTTCCAGACTTGGAACAGTTGGAGTGGCTGATATCCGTTAATTCGATATCAGGCCTCGTGTGTATTTTAATCTAGAAGAAAAGGAAAAGTTTGAGTTTTTAGTCTCGAGCGTGGTACGTTAGCTGAGAACGTATATAACAAATTTTCATATTTTTAGTATTAGGGAACTTGTACTTCGAGACAAATGTTTTTTTCTTTCTTACTTCCATGGGGGTAACATTATTTAATATTAACAGCTACTCTAACAAGATAAGTTTGGCGTCGCTGAGATTGTGCTCATCGTCCATCGTTAGCAACTGCTGAAACACATCAAATTCAGCAGCTAAATAAATCAAGAACAGCACAGAAATAAGTTTCTAAGATTCCAATGAGTTTCTAAGATTCTACGAGTTTTAATTAACACTTTTATATGGATTATGGTAAACAAATTCACTGTTTAATAACTACCAACTTGATAGAATATGGCGCTGGAGTAAAACCTAATAACTCCATAGAGATCTGCGAACTGAAATAATTGAAAAAGATATGTAGAACAAATTTTTAAAATATTTTAGCACTACATTGCTGTCTAAGCACAATATGCGGATTTAGTCCTACAGAGAAATAACAGATTTAGACATTTGCGCACTTATATACTAAACTTTATCAGTTAATATTTATTAGTTAGATTGAAGTGTTTACATATACCCAGATTAGTGTATCTAATCTTAACTTAATTAGTTAATATTGACTAGTTAGATTCAAGTGATTAGATTCACCCCGACGAGTACCACTGATAATTATAAATTACTTTTTTAAACCTACTCAAATCAACCAATTAAAAAGAATGTATATCTTAGTATAACTGAAATATTCTAAGTTCAAGTATTCCAATTAATTTTAAGCCTCTTTTCAGCTATTTTTGCAATATATTTCTCCCACAATATATAATATTAACTTTGGAGGACAAAGAACAGATACTTTCAAAGTTATTAATAATTTTGAACTGTGACTGAACTTCACCATTAGCATTTAAATTGTCAAATTGTCAATTCGGTGAGAAATGTTGTAAGTCATGCATATAATGTTACTGTTGATATAACCTAGAAAGTATCTTTTATTGCGTTCCCTCCTCTGACATTTACAAAAAGGACAGAGAAAATAATCCCAAATATCACGAAATTTGTTAAAACTTTTGTTCGCGTTAATAAAATTATTTTTAAGAGGCTTTTGATGGACAATGTATAGAACGAATTTAATGTGAAATGCGGTAATCAGATTTTTGCAAATCCTATATACTCGTATATATTTCTTTTTTGTTTTTTTTTTTTGCTAAAAGTAAAGGAAAAAGTTTGCAAAAAATATTATTAACAAGTTTGACATCAAAACATAAAAGTTTTACACAAAAGTTGCATGCTCAAGGGATCAGTCAGTGAGGCGTTCGTTTCAGTGCTGCAACACCCCCAATGTGGATTGAAGAGTGTGACAACGGAAAGGAAATAAAACACCTAACTATGGCGCATTTACTTTTGTAACGAACGACGAATATTTCCGTTCAAAAGTGTTAATTGGAGAGCGCATTGCATCAGCGAATTACGCTGACACATCCTACCCAAAAATCATGTCTACTCGGTCGGATATTGCAAAACTTTTTACGCTATTTTTATTCTTTAGTGCATATTCTTTTTTTGAAAGAAAAATTACGTGATGAACGGACAATTGTGTTGGTTTGTACAAAAAATACAAGAAAATATTGAAAAAATTAAACCTATGAAAGTCGATAGTGAATAACAACAATTGAAGCGAAGCGTATGCTCTTTTAAGCACCATGAGATAAAAGTTAAAATATTCTACGCACTATGAAAACTTTTTGAATTGTTATGCAAAATAGGATTTTTGTTACAACTGTGGTAAATTTTCCATTTAACGGTGCAAGGATGCTTTAATAGGCGCTCCATCAAATATTCGTGGATGTTAGGACTACAAACGATTGCTCTCTTCAAAAATTTCGAGTAAAAAAATCAAAAAATATTCATTTCCTTTGTCTGCATATGCAAATAATCGTATGTGAAAAAAGTGTGATGAACTTAAATGTATAAAAGTTTATAATCGAACAGATTTTTGCAATTGAAAAGATAAATATTCATGATATATAGCAGAAACTATTTTTCACATACTGCGGAAGTCACGTTTAAGCGATTGCAGGCAGTCAACGAGGAAAAAAATATATAGGAGCATTGAATAAAAATTTCCATTTGATATGATTGATATTCAACAAATGTGATAACATAAAGTATTAAAATATTTCAAAACTAGGACTGTATGCAAAGTTTTTATTGTTAGCATATGAGAATGATTTTAATCAAATAAGCTATAATAGTAAAATTTTACTGAGGGATACCAGTTTTGTTGAACGAACAAATTAGGATGATAAAAACTTAAAATTTTATTATGTGAAAAAGATGTTGGAAGAAAT